GAGAGAGAGAGAGAGATGAGTGAAAATTGTTAGAAACTGTAGCATATTTCTAGAGAGCGATAAAAGCGTCACCAGATCCAGAACTGATATTAATCCATGCAGATTATGATAACTGGGACTAGAGTTAAATTAATCCTGATCAGACAGACTAATCCTCGGTCAGGAAGGAACAGTTGATCTGCTCTCTCTACGTATAGGAACATACATGACAAAAAGCATGTGGGAGATTCGTCACTGTACAACAAATGTTGAATTTAGAAGCATAAAAATGTATTCCCCGAATAATGTCTTATAGATAAGAAAATACATGAAACTGTGCAATAAGATTTATTTTAAGATTTATTTTAAAACACCCCACAGGACTTTAAATTGACTTTAATTATCAGATGAATTTATTGGAACATAAAAGCTGTTCCCAAACACAAGAATGTTTTAATATAAATGTTATATTGTAATATTTAATTCCTATAGGATTTAACATAAGCAAGCATGCATTTGTGTCAGTGATCCATATGTCCATTTAGTACTTTGATGACAAATAATCATCTTGTGGTGAATCCAATCATGTTGAATTGTACTAGTCTGAATCCCCAGTGTTGTCTGACTGCTCTATATCAGAGTTACAGTCTTTAAGTGTTATAACGGTTGTGATTCTAAGCCTGAATGAAATCTTACCTCAAACTTCAGCAGGAAATTTTCCTGGACTGGCAAGAGCCTGAAGTAAAAAAAAACAAGGAATGTTTCATCTAGTTAGCATCCTTTAAAAGATGTTTATAAATGTGCATACAGAAAAAAAGAAATTGGAAACACACTGACCTCGCCATCTCAGAGAGGCCCAGCTTACCATCACCATTCAGATCAAACATCCTCAGCTGCACAGAAAGAAGATTACCAGAGAATTTTTTAGAGAAAACACAGCAAACAGAAGGTCTTCAAACACATTCAAGTACAGTGCTACACACACATATTACATGTTAAAACATACATAAATGGCAGCGGTTGAGTGCGTTTAGACCACAGATGGCTGACTGATGCAGGGGGCCTGAGTGATGCATCAGCACTACAGATGAGCTGAAGGGTGAACCCAGACATTGATGTTGTTCAGTGCATTAAAATTCAAGCCTTTAGGGACGTTGTTTCAGTTACATTATGTAGAAATGTAGCAGCAAAGTGCTACAATTAGAACATATGGGCATGAAGGCGTTGTTGTTGAGTGTGAATGTGATCCTGTGTTAAAGGACCAGTTTGTAGGATTTAGTGGCATCTAGCAGTGAAGTTGCAGCATTACAACCATTTGAATACAGCTCAGCGTTCTAAGCGTGTAAGAGAAACTATGGTGGCCCTTTTTAGAGTCAGTTCTTGGTTTGTACATTTGGGGCTTGTAGAAACATGGCAGAACAACATGGCGGACTCCATGTAAGACAACCTGCTCCCTCTAAACACACTGACGCTTATTTTCAGGTGATTATAAACTAATGAATACATACCTATGAATATTATATTCCATTTCTGCCAATAGATCCTAATAAATGTTATATATCGGACCTTTAAGCAGAAATTACACCCAAAAAATGTCATGATAAATCTTAGAGTACAATAGATTCTATTAAATTACAGCATCAATGTAATGTTAAGATTTAAAGGTTGAGTATTTTGAGACTTGCAGTTGTAAATTTGAGTTTGCAGAATTTAAGACACATGTCATGCCTTGTGATACTCACAATAGTCTGTGTGTACTCTTTGAGCTTCTTGTCATCATAGCTTTTGTTAGCCTTCTTCAGCAGGTCTGACAGGAAACCCTGAAGAGACAGAAAAACTCCCCCAGTCAGTCACCAGATGATATAACACATAAGCACTTACGGTGAAAATAAATGGTGTTAGCATACAGAGCTCAGGATGTGAATGGGGTGTTTGTTTTCAGAGGCTTTGTTTTTCACATGACAGCAGGCATAATACACACGTGCACGTTCAGAGTAGCTCCATCAGTAGAGACATTAGCACCAATTACACCACCAGCACTACGCTAATGATCATCTCAAACAAGGTCTGGTTTGTTTACAGTAATTACAAAACACACACATACACTATTATTCACCCACAACTCATTAAATAGACAGATGTGCAACAATGAGCTACACACATTTCTGACTGTAATTACCATGTGGAAGGGCATTTTGTTCATATTCATGGCTCAGCTGCAGAACAAAGGTCTAAATGACAGAACTACCAAATCTCTCAGAGTGTTGTACTACTGTCAGAGCAACTTTAAATGATTCCTCATTCATTTGCTTTAATTTGGCATATTGTGTTTTACCTTCAGCTCATTCGACTCGATGTATCCACTGCGGTCAGAGTCATACCTCCGCCAGGCCTGCAGGAGAAGATGATGTAGTTAGAGTAGTTCTCAGAAAACCTGTGTGCTAAAGTGAAGAGTCAGAATACACACTTGACTTTACAATTGGCAGACCTTCTGTATCTGAGTTACAGAAAGAAAGAAACTGTAAAAGAGACAGTGGTACCAGGGTGTCATCTGACATTGTGTAAATATATAATTTGTCAAAGCCCTTATCAAAGATGGATACCTAAACCCCTCCAGCACTCACTGTCTTTCCCTGTGCTCCATTCATAATGTATGGCTGTCTGAGAATAGCTCTAACACACAGAGCAGCCTGAACATCACACCACCACTGAAAACCCTCCTCAACCCAACTCTGGGTAAACCAAGTCTGTGTGTGTGTTATTTTCAATCACAGTGGACCAGATGCTTGATGCCTCACTGTTTTCTCACTACGTGTAGTAATAATTGTCACACTAACATCAGCAAAAGAGTCACTAAAAATGCTAATTTATAAGTTTTAAGAACCGAGAGTTCAGTTCAGTTTTGTTAAACAAGGCAATTTAAGTCACCTTCATGGTTCACTCTGACTATAATCTTAAACACAGAGCAGTTTCCAGTACAATACCTAACATTTTGTAAGTGTTTCAATGAGTTCCAGACACAGCATCCAGGCTTTAAATGAACAATTTACACCCATGGACTGTTTCCGCATCAAACAGACCTCCTAACTTGGCTGGGAAACAAAAGGAAACGCGGGTCAGCAACATGTGTCCCACAGGACGAGCTGTGGTGGCTCTGCTGACTTGAGGCATTTGTAGGGAAATTTCACAGCTCAGTTAAGTTAAGCAGTTAGTCGGTGAGCAACATTTTCCAACAGAAACAGAGAGAGAAGAAGGGTAATAGTGGCATTATGGATTCTCCAAATCCAAAGTCTTTACCATCATTAAATTGAAACAGTTTTGATGAGAGAGCTAAAGATGAGGGAAGCGAATACAAACTTACAGCCATGAACTCAGCGCTGGATCCCACAAACTCTCTGAAACAGAGCAGGAAGTTTTCCTCTGTGGGCAGAAGCTGCGCCAACTATAGAGCCGAAGACACAACGACAGGATGATTATTATTCCAGACACCTACTTTATGAATTATAATGAGACAGTAAAAGATAGGCTTTGTTTAAATAGTATATATTTTACATTGTGTTTTTATGGCATTGGTTCACGGTGGGTTATGACAGGAATATTGTGGCTATGCTGTATATGTCTTAACTCACCTCTGACATCTCAATTCTCCCATCAGCGTTCTTGTCAAAGCTGGCCATGAACTCCTTCATCTTTTCTTTGAACGCGGCATGTGAGGGATCCTGCAACCACATCAAAGATCAAAGAGACAATGCAGTCTTTAACTTAAACATACTGTATGTAAGAGAAACCCCATTATATCATGCTAACTAGGCCAACCTTGTCCCCCAGAAACTATGTTTATATTGTGCTGTTAATTTGCAATAGGGACTCGGTTTTATATGAAATGGAAGGCCATCCGGAAAACATTTCCTATTAACATAATGAGGAAACCTTGTTAATTAGTGTACGTGGCAAGTCGCAAGTTTTGCTACTGAATGTGTCGACAAAACATTAATTGACAGCTTTATCCTTCTTATTTTCAGGCACTGAAACACCCAGTTCCTAGGAGAGCAACTGTGATTACTATCTACTATAAAAAATTTGCTCATATTTTCATGTGTCAGCCACACGACTCACTTTAATTAAATGTGTATGTAAGTATTCAGAAATGTGCCGCGGTCAGCACACTCACCACGCCTGCTCCCGCTCCTCGTCTCGCGTTCTCCAGCTCCTTGAAGAAGTTCTCCAGCTCCTTCCCTTCAATGTAACCGTTCCCTGTGGAGCACCAGAGGAGCTAAATTAGTTTGGCACAAACGATGTTATGAAGTTTTTAAGTCGCCTGAAGCTTTGTTGACCGTTCAAAAGTTTGATGAAAGACTTAAATGTGGTTGAAAGATTAGAGGTCATTAGGGGTTCTTTAAATTTTGGAAACCTCGAGTGCCCGTCCAGTCTCAAGTCCTCCGTGATTAGATCCAAGTAAGCAGTTTACAGGAGTTTACAGTTTGAGTATTTCTCATGTATTTGATTGGTTTAGCCCTGAATTCATGTCAAAACACAATTCTGGCTGGTCAATATTCATGTCTTGAGTGCAGCCTGGACCACTACAACGCTGGGAAATAAGATTAAGACATACAACTGAAAAAAATCTGAATTGAAGACACAAAAAGAAGCTAATGTCTACAGAATATTCTCTATATTCACATTCATATATCTCATGCCAAATTTAGCATTTAGCAGCGGCAGGGCCTGTGGAGACTCAGCGATGTGCTGCAGCAGAAGAAAATGAGTGCAGTGCTGCTGGAGTGTAAGCAGTATAATGAGTGTTTTCTTGCCAAAGAGGGTGAAAGTGGGCAGTCAGATTGATGCTTATTGGGGCATTCTGTCCCTGTGTCTGGATTTGTACTTCTTACGACAGCCACATGACTGGAGAGGATTCAATATTCAATAATTTACTCCACTGGTTTCCCTGCAAGTCACAGAGTAACATATAGGACATTCAGCGGTCACTTTTTAATCATATGAATGAGTCCCATCTGTCTAAAATCCGAGCGGGGATTGGGGGTTCGTGCCTTTCATCATATCAAAATAGACATTAATAAAATAGTTATCTTTATTTTAGAGTACAACATAGACATACAGAATAAAATGCAGAGATTCACCCTGCCCCCCTCTTCATCCCTTAATCTCTTATCCTCTCATCTCCTTTCCTTTCTGATCATTTTCTCCCTCACCTCCCCCCCTTCCTCTCGTCTCCCTGCCCAGATTCATTTGCACACTGTAGTCTATAGGTGCTCCAACTCACCATCTGTGCTCTGGTTGAGCTGCTGTTTTAGATAGAAACAAATCACTGCATGAACACAAAGCTTTGGTTGTGCAAACAAAGCAAGCCAACTCAATGTAACCATTCATCTGGAGCTCAGATTCACTTTCAGAGTTAAACTGCTACTAATTTCTTATCATCAGCTAGCACTCAAACAAAGTGTTGACTGGATTACCAAACCAAGGCCAAACAATCAAATTATATACTGGGACAACATGGGATGATAAATCAGCAAGAGAGTCTCCAATAAAATGATGTGTAATAGAACTGATGGAACTGACTGAAACTGGGAAGTCAAAAGTAGTCAAAAAATACTTTTTTTAGCCAGTTTGCTTGAAAACATTGTTGATTTTGATGTTCAACCAACCAGTTAAATAAAAGTAAAAATGATATTACTATATTACTTTACATTATAACACCCACATGCCAAAAGCCGCCTGTTAGGAGCTTCAATCTCAATTCTTACATCATTTAAAATTTGATTAAAAAAAACAAGTACAGTTTAAGGGAATATCATTAGTTTTGTTCATTAGTTCATAAATCAACGTATTAGACAAATTAACAATGTGACCTGATGGTGGCATCAGATATAATATCAGGGGATCGCCAAAGCTGTTACAATTCATCCTGAGGGGGACATAAATGTGTGCACAAAATGTCATGTCAATACATCCAATAGTCGTTAAGATATTTCACTCAGATCCATAAATGTTCACCTCATGGCTCCGCTAGAGGAAAAGTCAGTCAGTTCTTAGTTCTTCATTCAGGCCCTTATTGAGTTACTTAGATAATAATATATATGTGCCTCTGTGATCAAGAGAAATGGTGATCAAGTGCGACTAAAGTATGTAACGAGGGGAGCATACACAACTTAGAGTCTATAGCAATGTCAGCAGAGTGGTGAGTAGCTCTGTAGTCAAAGACCTGTTCTCTGCTGTAGTGATCTTTTTGTTCTTCAAGGACGTGGAAATGCGAAAGTGAGAGAAGATATCTCTGAACAACAAATCTTGCTATCTTGTTAACCAGTTGGAGATGTCTAGATTTTTAACCACAGAACAGAAACCTTCAGTTGTTGGCTAATATTGCAACCTGACAAACGACAGGTCTAGCTTGGACTCTGCTATCTATGATATTATGAGTGTGTTCAAACTCTGTGACTTGTAATAAAGCCCACATAAGGGACCATGTTCTCAGCTCACTGGGGCTCACTGCCAGAGTTTAGCTGCAATACAAATCTCAGCTGCCACATGGAGCGCACCACTGCACACTGCATACTGAGCAGATGCAGCCCTCTACCTCCCAAAACATTTTCAAGCACAGCTCAACTGCTGAATGCTCAATTACACCTCCAAAAACGATCCAGCTGCAAGTCATAATGACTGAAAACAACGGAAAAAACTTATTATGACACTGGAGACCGGCGTCCACAACAAAGGGGGTTGCTTCTCAAGAACACGACTTAGACCAAGAGGTTCAGGATGATGAGTGGGACGGAGTTTTAGACAGAATCCACTCCTCCTCCATCTGCTCCTGTCATAGTCTTATCCAACTTAAGCTCATCCATCGAATATACTGGACCAAGGTCAAACTGTCTCTAATTAAACCTAACATCAACCCTCTATGTGATGGAAGCAGGCTCCAGCTACATTGACGCACATCTTTTGCCCCCATTATTCACTTTCTGGAATTCAATTTACTCTTTTTCTAAAGCATTAAAAACAATCATTGACCGTTCCCCATTCATTTTCTCCCTGGTCTTTTCCACCATTATTCCCAAACGGTTGATTCTTGTACTAAAAAAAAACTCTGGATGAGATATTTAAGAAGTTGTTTGCATCTTTAAAATATTAGATATACATGTCAAAGCAAGGCAGAGAACTTTCATTTTATTTGGAACCCATTTACTTCTCTCTTATCTTGTCTGAGCTCCTCCACTAACTCCTAAGTGTAACCCACTCTCGACTATCCACATGAACCAACATCTAGAAATATCATCTTTTCTCCCTTTTTGTATTTTGTTTTGCTTTAGATGTGTGGTTTTTTTATGTTGTGATAGTGCCTAATTCAGTTGTTGCTGTCAGGGTAGTGGGAGGGTGGAGGAGACTGTTGTATCTTAAAAAGGATCATGCCAAAAACACAGGAGACTCTGAATATAAAGAAAAGCCCTGATGAGTTTAAAGACTACACTGCTGCTGGAAATCCTTCCTTCAAATTCTCACTTCTTGTATTTGTCCTAGTTTTCCCAGCAGCCAGTAGGAGCTCCAGTCCACTCAGTCACTGCTGTGCAGCATCTGTGGTCAAGAAAACAACCTGTTGTCCCCCAAAATAGATTGTTTTACAGTGAGTAGACAGAATATCTGTAAGTGAGACTATTCCTGAGGTAAAATACATGTTTCTCCATTCAGAAGCGTTGGCTGATCGCAGTTTAGGTGACACTGAACTAAGTCAATGTTTTATCAAACTTGGTCCCGTGTGTAACATTTAGGAGGATCTCATTGGCAGCAGAATGGGAATATAATAGTTCATAGGGTGGTGTTTGATCATTTAGTGTATAAGTCACTCTGCAATATTCAGGAAATTGTTGTGTTTTCGTTACTTTGGAATGAGACGTTTTTATCTGCAGAAGCCTTCCACCACCACCATGATTCTACAGTATCTCAGAACGGACAAACCAAACACTGGCTATATTGCATGGGCACCATAGTTGCTCTTCACGCTTGGAAGGGGAGGGTGAAGCGATGGAGTCGCAGTCTGCAACTACACCACGAGATGCCAATAAATCCTACACATTGGCCCTTTGAAAGGGAGGTTCAGGTATTTTTCTTCTGGGCACATTAATGTCTCTTATGCAATTCAGTCCATGATTCTAGATGGGAAAGTAATTAGCTATGGTATCTTCACCCTCATCATCATAAGTCTGGTGCCTTTGAAAAGAACAACCCCTGAAATCCTCCACTGGATCATTGCAGTCATCCAGGCCTGAGCAGTTCTGGATCAATTAGCCATTGATCAGTTGTCCATTTACACTATCTGTAAGATACAGCTGCTGTTTTAAAATGGGAACTGAGGCCTTTTAGACGGTAACTGAACAGTCAATAATGTCGTCAAATTAAATGACCAAATAGCTAATAACTTTTCATTGCCTTTAAAAATTACCTATATGAGTGTTTTCTGATCTGGCGCCCTATTGGCAGGACGACATTGTTTATTAGTGCCATTGACCATCTTCTGATCTATCACCTTAACTATTTAAGTTTACATGTTTAGGCACAAAAACTTCTCAAATAACCTTAGTGAAAGATTGCAGTTGTCAAGGGATGTTGTATCTGCAAACACTCAAATAAGAACATTGACATAAGCTGACAAGTTGGTCCACGTATGCACGCACTAAGACCTGTCCTCAGTGTATATTTAGTTTGTGTAAAACAGAGAATAAATGAAAAATTCAAGTATTGGTTTTACTTTATTTTCACACTGTTATAGTTAAAACAAACTGACATTGATTCTTTGAAGGACAATGAGTTCATCAGACAGAGTTTCCAAAGGGGTTAACGACAGAGCTCAGAGCTTTTTCTGAGTGGCTTCAGAAAATAATCCTTACTTTAATGTGCAACATGATAATCACTAAACCTTCACAAAACACAGACATTGCTGAGACATTATGTTCTCAATTAATCAAAATTTTAGAACATTTATTTTTTTAAGTCAAATATTTTAATGGCTTGTTTTGTCCGTCCAACTACAGTTAAAAGCCATAAAATATTCAGTTTGACATCTGAGAAACTGGAGCACAGAATTTTTTTTTACTTTAAAATAAAAACTAAAAAATTACTTAAACAATTAATTGATTAACAAAATAGTTGATCAACTAACTGATGAATCGACTAATTGCTTAAGCTCTAAATTATATTGATTTAAGTAAAAAAACAGAATAAATAATAGTTTGATTCAGCTCCATTTCAACCGACTAGAACATTAAATATATATGTTAATACATCAGTAATAATAATAGTATATAACAATCACAGCCACCATTCTACATTCATAATGAGTACTTTTACTTATACTTGTACTTTACTTGTACTTTTATATTATTATATATTACCATTTAAAAATGTGTGTGTGTGTGTCTGTGTGTGTGTGTGTTATTGTGAGTTGTAAAGGGTCTGAATATGTCGTCACATACACAAACACACACACATGCACACGCGCCCGCACGCACACACACACACACACACACACTCTTTCCATTCCTCCAGTTCATTCCCAGTAAGCTCTCAGATTTAGAAGCTCCTCCCAATAAACTCCAGTAAAAAAACACCCTTCACTCATCCCCTCTCTCACCTTTTCACTCCCCCAGCCTCTGCTCTCTCTCTCTCTCTCTCTCTCTCTGGTCCTCCCCCTCTGCATCATTTTTCCCTCCCCCCACCCTCTTTCTCTCTCTCTTTCTCTCTCTCTCTGTCTCTCTCATCTGTTTTCTCTCTCGTCTCCCCCTTTTCCAGCCTCCTCTATAACTTCTTATTTAATTTCTTTCATAGTTTTTTTTTCACTATGGATCCTTTGACACATTTCAATCACAGCAAATGCAGTAAGTCACAAGATCAATTATATTAAACGATGATATGATGATAACATAAAAGAGCATTTGGTTTGTTTTTACCGAGGACACACGATAAAATTAAGTAAATCAAAAAATCTTTCCTATATGTTGTATTCATGTCAAATTAGCTCCAGCGAATATATGCTACTTTTCTTTAGTATGATATTACTGTAATATTTTCATGTTGCTGACTTAAGTAAAGTAGCGCTTCACTGAATTATTTTTAAAAGACAGAAAAACAGAAAAGGAATTTAACTTTCACAGGAAACAAAACTGTACATAAAAAACACACCTTTCTCTCTCAGACGTACATCTTTCAGCTTCTAATAAATCCTAATTGAACACTCAATTAATTCCACATTCCTCAGATTGGTAGATACTTGCGCGCACTGACCGTCTGCGTCAAAATGTTTCCAGATGTCGATGAACTGCGCTGCGGTGAGCTCAGCCAGGTGCAGGTGGGGCGGCTGCTGTGCTTGAGTTGCCATCTCTGCTGTTTCTCCCTCCTCTTAGTCGGTAGTGATAGTTTGAGGTAAACTTTTCCCGGTGTAGACCTCTTTGGTACTGTGGGCAGCTCCTCCTCAGTTGTGGCTTTTAAACCCCCCGCGGCGTGCGCGCTTCTCCTGCCCGCCACACGGGGGCGCCTTCAGCGTGAAGAGAGACCCTGCAGGCAGCTGCAGCAGGAGACCAATTACAGGAGGAGGAGGAGGAGGAGGAGGAGGAGGAAGGCTCTCCTGAGCTTTACATATGAGTTACCATTAACTGCTGTCCAGGCTGCTGGTTTGATAACAGGATAATTATACATCATCCAATCATGCTTCTCCCATGAGGAGAGAATCACATCAAACTATGTATCCTTTAGCGTGTCGCCCCGCTGGCTCCGGTGGATCTTGTAGGATCTATGTCATCCCTGTCTCTTCAAATATTATAGCTCTCTGCACAGTGACTTATCAAATAAAGCTTGAATAAATTAAATATCCCATCCCAGGGGCCACAACACCTCAGGAGGAGGAACTCAAAACAATACAAATGTGCAGTGATGTGTGTCTCTAAGGGCCACATTACTCCCTCACTGTCTGAGTTTTTAATTTTACCTTTCAGATGTCACTTACACACTCCCTCCACTCGTAGCTTTTACTTTCACCTCCTCCCTCAACCTTTCCCCCATCATTCTTCCCGGCCTGTGGAGGTCGGAGGGGCACTCAGTCTCTTTGGCTAATCGAACCCTTACTTGGCGTGAATCCAAGCAGCAGCAGCAGCAGAGTGGCTTTTGCATGGCTACTAAATCACCAACACGCCTTTGTTCATTCTGCAGGATGAGCCATCTTTTTCTCATCTTCCCCTCCTACTGTGGTGCGTCTCCCTCTCTACAGTTTGGTCCCCACAGGCTGGTGTGAAGGATGGGTGCTGTGGTGGGGGAAGGGGGCTCAGATGGAGAGGATGCAGAAGAAGAAGAAGAAGAAGAAGAAGACTCTTTATCTCCTCCCTGCAGAGCTTTGTGCTGCTGATCAGAGAAAAACGGCAGAAAACAGAGTTGGAGAGAGTAGATAATAAGTGTGTGTGTGTGTGTGTGTGTGTGTGTAAGTGTGTGTGTGTGTGTGTGTGTGTGTAAGTTTGTGTGGGATAAGTGCATATGTACAACTCCTGTATGTGTATGTGGAAAAGACAGAAAGGGGGGAGGGAAAAACAGAGGGGAGATATTTATAGAAACTCCCATCGTAAAGCCTAAACTGCATGAATAATAATTACAAAACTTAAAGGATTTGATTGCAGAGCTCTGAGTTGGAAGTGTTGGAGGTGAAGTGATGGGATGAATAATGGAGTATTGTGGGATATGAGAACGACAATGATGAATAAGGGACAAAGATGTTAATGGACCTCTGATCACCTTTCAAATGGAAAAGTGTCATGAGGATATGAACATGCACTCACAGACCTACATATAATACATACACGCACTGCACACACATATTCAGGTGCACACACATACACACAATATAAAACAGACAGCCGATAGGAACAAATATTAGCTTTGCATGCCAGTCATTGCACATTTGCAGATTATGGATAATTATGCAATCCCGTTAATGCTGTATTAAACATATACTATGAAATTTAGATTAGTTAAACGTGGCTCAATGTTGATCATTAACATGGAAAGGGAAAGTGGGATGAGGAAATGTTGCAGGCATCCAGGTGTTTAAGAGGCTTTTCAGCTCACTTTGATTTAATTTTCTGAAATGCAACAACAATGTACCATCTCTGGTGTTATGCCGAATTATGCAGGATCAAGTGCACAAATCCTGCTTGAGTTTATACATAAAAAGAACTGATTATTTTAAAATAATAAGCTGTAGTTAGAGTGCAGACGGGCAAATGAAACAGAATATTCTCATTTAAATAAAGACAGATACGTTGGTGACTGCAGGTTAAAACTGTGGGTTAATGTTTTTTTGTTCTGGATGATTATTACCTCTCATGTCGGCTACTGTTTCACCACATCTGTCCTGCTTCTCCAATTCCTCTTTAAACACCATTCATTAGTTTTACAATTAACACTTGAAATGATGAAAGCACTTGTAAATTACAAGGTAGTAGTTTTACCTCCTTAATTAAGGTTTCATTACTCTTCTTTTGACTTGTAACGTACCTCTCTAAACTAAAAACAAGTCAAGTGTGAATTTGAATCAAACATTGATAGTTAAGTCGTTTACTTAGTCGATGATGATCCATTGAAGATAGCATAGTGTGTATAAGTATATATTTGGATGGAGTTTTAAATAAAAATAAATCTTCCTTATGTTAATATTAAAGTCATAATTTTATATTCCGCCATCCATTTTGTAATGACTAAAGCCTTGTGTTATCAGTGTCTCTAAAGACTGAAGCTGTTTTGTCGTGCTGTAATACAGCCTCCGAGGATGAGCTTCTTATTCCTTTTCTCACAGACATTGACATTAATCCAAACAAAGTAACTTTTTTGAAGAACTCAACACCAATTTGAACCTTTTGAGAAACAAAAGTAAAGCAAAAATAGCCAAAGGTTTTGTTTTAGTTCTTTTTGTTTCATTTTTATGGTGCTGTGCTTTATGAGGTTTATATGATGAGACGTTTGCTGTGCGTTTGAAAGAAAAGGGGGGAAACATATTATATTAAACATTAGTGTCTTCTAAACAACACAAATGCATCAAATGCAGCTATACAACTGCCTTCCTGGCCCAAATGTAACCTCATGCCCGTGAAAGAGTCAGTTTCTTTAGTTTCTGATTAACATGACGAAACACTGACGAGGCAAAGTCCAATATACTGAACTATTTAACAAAGTGAGAAATATATATCTCACATAATGAATCTCTCAAACATTAAAATACCCTCCAGACGTGTATTATGACATATACACTGTCATAACTCCTGCTGTGTGATAGTGTGATTGTGTGGTTTTGTTTTCTACCCTAGTGTGAGTGAGGTGTGCTTGATATCTATTATATATTATATATTATATATTGATCTGATATGTTTATATGTTAATTTCTACATTAAAATCCTTGAAAAGGCATCTACTTTTTCTACCTCATTAAAAAGTCCAGGATGTGTAAATTTTCCCTTTCTAAGGTTTTCAGGATGGACACAAGATGTCTCCTACTTCACTGTAAAGTCCATTCTCACTGTATGTGCACTGGTGGCTTCAAGTTTCTACATCACATTAGTATAAGTTGCAAATTGGACCAGAATTTAATTACAAACTATTTGTGATGTCACTAATCATGCTCTTAGACCCCGCCCCTAAAAATCTGATTTTCAATTAGATAACATTTCTAACTTCAGTAGATAAATGTGAAAACATCCTTCTAGTGTCAAACTGCACATACATCATTCTGCACAGTGGAGCGCAAACATCCACATAAAAACATATCTGTGAGTGGAGGGGGGCTTTAACATTAACTACTGTACTCTAGGACACACTCATCTGTGTGTGTGTGTGTGTGTGTGTGTGTGTGTGTGTGTGGCAGGGCAGGAGCTGCCTGATGAGCCCCTCGCTGATGTTTGCGTGCACTGAGGAACCTCCGGCATGCAGTCAGGGTTGAAGCTCTCTGTGCTGATATCTGATCAACCAACAGCACTCGACCCACCTACAGCCGACATTGTAGGAAGGAAAAAATCTGAGTTTATGGAAAAGAGAGGTCAGAGTGTGTGAGGTGATGGTAACAGCATTAAACACTGAGGATGCATCACTTGCTCCATCCTTGAATATTGACTCTCTTGGGACAAATTACACCTTTATCATTCTAATTAGTCAATGAATCTGGTGCCCTCACAGATGTTCAAGCATTAGTTGGCCACACCTTCAACCTGAGCAGAAGTCTGGTTAAGGGCATAGGTTTTATTTCAGCATTGTGGGGAGGTTGTGTATGAGGGTCCTGCCCAAGGAAATTCTGAGCATCAAACAATTCAGGTCCTACATTCTGGGGAATCTTTCTGCATCAGTTTATGGTGGAAATGTTTTTTTCCTCCCCCTTTTCCCTTCTGGCTCCTCCATTGTTATCAACCGTGCATAGCTGCTTCTTCTTCTTCCTGTTTTATGGCAGATTACAACCATTGCCGCCTACTTTACCAGAGGCATTGTTGCGTCTATGAGTTGCGTTCTAGTGCTTCGTCACAACAAACGTCCTCTGTTACTTTCATAGTTTTATTGGGTGGGACAAATGCACATGTTCCTAATGTTGAAGGGAACATGTCCCCCCCTGAAATGTTCTTGATATCCAAGCAGGACCTTACATTTGATACATATTAAAATCCTTGGCTTGGTAGCGGGTTGATTATGAAAATGTCCGACAATAATTGATAAAAATCCAGCAGATAACTCACAACTTCAGGATGATGCAGAGCAGCTGAGAGATCAGCCATGACCATGATGTTGTTTTCTACCAAACACCGTATTGTGTCAGTTAATCCCACTACAATGCAGTAACACTGACCCAGACCCAATGAGTGAGAAGCAAACTGAACTTTATGAGCGTGAGCTGGGTTTAGTCCTGCACGCCGGGTAGCTGCATGTTGATTATTGCACTCACAACATCCCTACACCAAGTAGTGACTACATACATCATGGACACACAAAAGCACATGCAATCCAGTAGACAGTCATTCTCCTAATGTCCCAGAGGCAGTCCAGCCAGGCCTCTGTGGATCAGCGCAGTGATCCACGTGGCTGTTTGTCTCACCCACCTGTCATCATTAGCTGCACAGCCGTTGAGGATAGGCAAGTCAATGTGAACTCCAAACCTGAACTTTCACTTCACTTTACTTTCCTCCAACAAGCCTTTCCCTCCTGCAGCTTCTCATCATGCAGCCAATCAGATATCAGCTGAGTATAATAAATTACAGCACAGTCCTCCTCACCGATGTGATGCCAGTGAGACGACACACATCTCAAACTGCATAATCACACGCTCAGAGGAACAATAAATACCAAATGTGCATGTTGTTGGTAGGAATGAATATCACAGAGTGGAATTATTTGTGTGGAAGTGT